AACCATGTATCCTCATCCATATCTCCGTAATGTCAAAATCTTTCACCTATGGCCTACGAAAAGCATATGCTTTTTGGAAGATCAGCAGATGGTTTTCACCTTTTACCTGTCTCATTTCTCAAGAAATTGAAAAGAGAAGGGTTAGTCTCCAATATCCCTTATCTGGAAGTTCTGTAAGTTCCAAGCCTTTGTTAGGGCTACCTTCACGGATTCCACGTTCTGCTTCTTATCTATGACTAGCCAGCCTACCAGACCTAGCAGATTCCCCGCATTGACCATTGTTGTATCATAGTCTTCTTCCTCTACCGGAAATGGCTCATTGTCTTTTGCTAGACGGCAATTTCGAAAGTCATCTCTTCCACGGCTTTGCATCCTTTCCTCATCAGTTGGCTGTTCAGAATGGGCAGTAGAGCCATCCATATCCTGTCATGACAATTCAGGGGACCATTGTTGTTGCATTCTGTTGTGATCGTAGAGTTTTGTGTGGCTCACGTCATTCCGAACAATGTAAATCTCGTTCCTCTTCCATGAATTTGTGTTTACTTGATCAGACCTATAGGAACCAAGGAAACGCAGGAGAAATGAAAGAAAAGGATTAGGTGAAAAAGATCACTCCCTTACTCTAGTCGTAGGAGGTTAACTAGGGTTTCAGAAAACAACGCGGCCCTAATAATAGAGTAGAAATGAAGGGAAACTCCCTCTTGTGAATTTCTTGAAAAACCTATAACTAGCAGGAGGCAAGAGATAGGTGGCTACAAACTCGATGCAATGAAAACGAATGCCACTTAGAGCAAAACCATAAGTCTTAATCACTATAAAAGACCCCTAGATTTCGCAGCAAAAACCTAGGAAGAAAAGCTCTCTCTAAACGAGAGAAAAACATTAGTATTAATTCATCCATGCTCACATAATTCAGTAAGGGTATTATGGCAATTACTACTCATAGCAGCTTTTTTCTTCATCCCGTCCTTTCGCTGCTCTCTGCCTCCTACCCTCCACCCCACCTTCACTTCTCTCTATGTAAAAAATCACCTCAACCTCCACGATCATGTTTAAAATCCAAGAGTAAGTCCCTTATTGACTGAGTAAGGAGACATGAGAGGTCCGGAAAAAATATGATCCTAGTTACTGAACCGAATAAGTGCACATAGGTAACCTTATTACTCCAGATACTGAAATCGATTCCGAACCGAATTGTATTTCGGTTTGTTTATACCGAGTCGATAATAGCCAAATTTTAAAAAATACAATGATATATTCATCTCGTCAATAACTTTACCGGAACAGTAATTAAAGCTGATTAGACTAACGTTTTTACTGACATGGCAATTTTTCATCAAAAAATATGCCAGATGAAAATTATTACTATTTTAATTAATATAAAATTGCTAAATTTTTTTCCCCCCTTCCCCGTCTTCCTCTTCCTTCGATGGTGAAGTTCCACCCAATTCCCCACTTCCCTTTACCCAGACAAATAAAGAACGCCCAATCGCACTCCCTTTTCCCTTGGCATTGATCTACCATTAACCCAAAGAAAGGTATTTGTGTGAGGTAGAGAGTAAACCGATGGGAGAAAAGGCGAAAGCCAAAGATGGAGAAGCTCGCGCTCGGAAAGTTGGTCAGCGGCGGTGGTTGTCGACTCGGCTCCGCCTTTCTTTTCCTTGAGAGCAGATCTACACGCTCCGTTCGATTTCGAAGCAAGCGATCTTCGCGACAACGAAATCCAAGCCGCATTATCTTGAGACTGAAGAATCCCAATCGCTGCCGTCGTTGAAGCACTGTGGACAACTATAGAAGATGCCCCATCATCGTAGCTGGAGAATTGAACTCACACCATTGCTGCTGGTGTAGCTCGACAAGGGTTTCGTCGTCGGAATTGGAGTACGAATTGAAGCTGGGTGAGATCGGGGAGAAGGCGACGACCGAGGTGGGTTTTTGCTGGTGGTGTTGCATCTGAATTCTCAACTGTAGAAAAGCTTCGAAGAATGCGTTGTGCTATCTCTGTATATGGTGGGGAAGGGAGGGAAGCGAAGCGGCTAGGAAGTGAGAAAGCTGAAAACCCAGATCGAGAAACGAAAAAACTAATCCCCGCTATCTTCATCACAGACTTCCTCGAAAAATTCCAGATCGGAACAGCATCCGCTAACTCCAGTAGCTACTTTGTGTTTCATAATTAAACATAATAATAATTATTTTTAAAAAAATAATTTTTCAAATAAATAATATTTTGTAATCTGACATGGCGGTACACATGGCACGTCATGGTGACTAAGAGATGATGTGGGTGCTGAGGTGGCGTCCACATTAGCGTAATGTTGACGTTACTCACAGAGTTACTAACATCGTTAAACTTTTTAACGAAAATTGCTAAATTGTCAAACTAGTTTAAAAAGTGTGGTCATATCTGTGTATTTTTCAAAATTTGGCTATTGTTGTCACCAAGCACAAACTTATGGCTATACATGTGTATTTTGCCTAAAAATAAATATCCTCGTTTTGGAATTATCACCATTCACTCTTTCTCACATCCTTTCACCCTTTCTCTGACTGGAACTAAATCTACTGAGGAATGACATCCACCACCAAAATGACTTCCTCTCTCGCCGGCCGATCATCAACTCCTCTGCAGCACCGTAACCTCGAATGCCCCATATATGACCCTTGAATTCCTCTCCTCCATAGCTTACTACCCGCAGCCCCGACCACCGCCGATAACCGATTGCTTAGCCGATACTTTCTTACTTCAGAAATTCCAATAACGAGTGGGCGAAGGCGAGTAAAAAACCCCCGCGAAGTTCGACGATGGAGCTTGGTTTGGAGTCCTCAATAGCATTGAACAATTTCAAACCTTGCATCTACTGATACATCTGGTCGGCAGCAACCACAAGGAACAAATTGAGTGAAACCACGAGGAACAGAGTGATGCATGTCGACGGCGACAAGAGAGTAAGTGTCAGAGGGAATTTGGGGATTCAAGCATCCTGCTTGCACTACGGGAAAAAGACCATTTAATCATGGGAAATCCTGTGTTTAAAATAGGGATGGCAACAAAATCCGAACCCACGGGTACCCACCCGATCCAACCCGGTCAACGCGGGTAAAATCCGTGTTGACGGGTTTTGGGCCGGGTTTGGGTTTAAACCCGTTCACTATTCACCGGGTTGGGTTGGGTTTGGGTTTAGGTAAACCCGGCCCGTGGGTACCCGCCCACCCATATAATTAATTTTTTCGGTATATTTAATATTCTAAGCAACTAACCTTATTTATGTTTGTGGAGACATGTCTAATTTTTTCTTTTTAATTGTGTAGAATGAAGTTGATGTTATGGAGTGGAGAGTAAAGAAACTTAATTGAAAGGAAGAAGCTTTCAATTAAACATGTTATTTATAGATAATTTGTGATTTGCTTCAATTTTCTTGAGTTTTCTATATTGGTGTTGAACAATTTGTATAGTTAATTTGTGATTTGCTTGAATTTTCTAGAATTGTGTTTTATATATGGATAATTTGTATTGAGAGATTGATATTTGACTTTAATTTTGATAAGAACTTGTAATTGTAAATTTTTTACGACAAAACCCGTGGGTACCCATGAACCCGCGGATACCCAACGGGTTGGGTTGGGTTTGAGTTTTTCAAACCCAGTGGGTTTTACCCCGGGTTTTTTTCAAAGATAAACCCATGGGTTTGGGTTTGGGTTTGGCAAAACCCGACCCAACCCGACCCATTGCCATCCCTAGTTTAAAAGTGTGTTTCCCGTGTTTAATAGTTTTATTCATGGTAAAATTACCGTAATATATACCTCCGTGTCTAATTGTACAGGTCACAGGATATATGTACCGTGACTAGCTATAATTATTCACGGTATAATTTCCTGTAATAATTTGTACCTATTAATCACGGGACCCCCATGACTAATACCAAATATTGCCACACAAAACCAACAAAAAAACTCAATTAGAGACGGGATGTGCACCTTTTAACACAGTAAATACTGTGACAAAATTGGTTCCCGTGACTAGATGGCAATCATTAGTCATAGTATTTGGTTGGTTCTACTGTATCTAGAGACTAACAATTGGTCATGGTTTTTTATTATGAATAATTATCAATCACACTATAAACAATATTTTCATGACACGTAAAATTTCATATATGAAAATCAATAGTTCAAATGCCACTAATTGACTATATTATGGAAAGAAATTACGATATAATAAAATTAATTACAATTACAATTCCAATCAATCTTACCAAATCATCTAAAATTATCTAATTTTTTTTATCTATACTTCTACAAAATATTATTGAGTAGCTACAATATACACCAACAACTGAATGTACATTACGCTACTCTAGAGTTCAAGTTTGGAGTTTCATCTTTCCTCTTGAAACGAAGTTTTGATATCACGAATCCAATCTCAAGCAACTTGCACTTCTATACCTGCATGAACAACAATAGATGTGATTGACATGGGTGATGAAAATATATTTATGTTGAAAGTTTGTAAACCTGAAATCGATGACGAGTTGATCCATTTCACACAAGTCAATGCACTCAAACTCCATCCACACCACTATCCAACCCCAACAAAGAAGACATGGCAGTAGTAAATACATTTGGGTCGAGAACTTTTTACCACACCCAAGTCTTTCAATCTCTTAACAAATACTCTGCCCTCAACCATCTAATGTCACAAAAAAACAAAATGCAATAAATAACCACTAAATTACTCGCTCGTGATTCAAGAGATGAAAGAGAACACAATTTCATGAAAAGACCAAAGAGATTCACAAAATCACACTACTCGTGAAGAATACTAAGGTAGAGATGATACAAAGTACACATGGATATGTTTTGGGCATCAATAAATATAGCTGGACGACATCTCTTCTTTAGCTTTCTATAGGATAAGACCAGCAGTAAAATAACCTTTATTCACAAAATCTTGCACATATAACTAGCGCAGTAACAACTTCCTACTAATAGGTAAATCTGGTTTCTCATTGTAGTACCAAACCTCCAATAGACAACTAAACTAATTCTTCTTCAACTTATCAAATTTGTAAACTACCAATCCCTAGTTGTAATGCTGAAAAACCAGTATAAAATACTTCATATCTAAGAGAAACCCTTTGAACCCATGGCAACTAAAAGCCCTAGAAAGAAGCATCATTTCAAGTTCTTTAAATGGGCAACGAACTTACCATGTATATGCCACGAACAACCACAACAAAAGGATCAGATGTGTCATCACTTTGCCAACGATGTCATTCATTGCGGCAGCTACAATTGCAACCTTAAGCCTAGCAGCGTCTCTATAATCCTCTTTATACACAACATAACTGTAACTGCATAGACACAATTAGAACATGTCAATATAGGAAATAGAGGAGATAGAACCACAAATACTAGTAGAGACAAAGGCCCTACCACCAGTACCACAACTACTACTAGAGCCAGGAGCTGAATTAGAATGTCCGCCATCATGAGGAATGGACTTCTGCAAGTTACAAACCTTTACCAATCTCGCCCCAGCTTGTAGTTGTACTTGTAAAATCATTGGCAGAAAGAAGCACATAACCAGTGATTAAACTTTCTGGTATTTGTTTCAACAAGCTAGGCAGTGGTTACTATTCTGTAAACATCCCTAGTCCATTAGTCTCATAAGCAACTACTAAAGCCCCCTGAAAAATGAAGGGGTGAAACCATAACTCAATTCCCTAATGAGCAATTCGACAGATAGGAAATTGATGCAATGTTGAGCAAGATGAGTGCTATTGTGCTAACATGATTCGCCAATGAAAAGAAAGGCACTAGAAGTGCAAAACAACATCACCTAAGTAGCAATGAGATCCATCTAGCATTCCAGTTTCAGAAATTAATCACATGAGAAAGAAACTTCAAGAACACCCAATTCTTAATGAGATTCACTTCGAACAGGAAACTATAACTATCCTGGACTAAGCAAAATCAAAGCAACAGCTCCACATAACTAAAAAGGTTAATCTCTAACTTTATTATCACCCAACATATGAGAAACGAACTTCATGTGGATTAGATATGTGGATCCTTCCTCATGAGGTGAGGGCAGGGCAAAGTTTAATAAGAACGCCAATGGAACGAAGTGGGCTTTTTGGGGTTTCTTCTCCTTTCCTCCAACTGTGTTTCGCTTTTCACTAGCAAATCAAACACAAGCTCAATCTGAGTATAAAAAAATGTTAGAAATCACGGTAGGGGATCAAATCCATGCACCATGCTCCATCAAAAGGAGATAGGTTTACTTCAGAAAGTTGAAAAATCTACAATATGATCAATTACAAACCCTAATTCACCACAAAGCCGAATTTTCAACTCCAAATTCGAATTAAAGCATGAAATCAGATCAAACCATCCCAATAATCGGAAAGAGGAAAAGGAGTACAATACATTGAGTGCCACCGAGATGAAGGGGCCGAGAACGGAAGAAGTGAAGGCGGATGGAGAAGGGGGGTTGATGCCAACTAATCTTCCTGGCCATAAGCGCATCTACCTTGTCTTTGTATGAGTTAAAAAGGAGGCGATGAAGCCGCTTGTAGTGCAGGCGGAGTTAGTGGGAACCTGGAACGAAGATGCAGGGATTTGTGTGTGGGTATGGGCTATGGCTTGGTTGAGCGGCATAGGAAATGACAGAAAAGAAGAAACGAGCGAGTGGATAACAACAACGCCGTTTAGGGAGGGCAAGGGGGCCGACAGGGAGGAAGGCGGAACAACAATCAGAAGGGGAGGGTGGCGAAGTTTTCTAAAGCAGAAGAGAAGAGGTTATGCTGCTGTTTCAATTGTTCTCGGTAATAGAAATTGTGGGAAAGACAAAATTAGAGAATTGTGAATCCAAATATTTTTGGAGCCATAATTTAGGATTGTAGAGTCAAAAGTTTCTAGAGCCAAAAGTTTGGGTTGTAGAGCGGGAAACTAAGGCGGGAAGATGGGAGGGTTTGCAAAAATTAATGGTAACAATTCAATACGGATTGCAATTCTTGAACCAATTGATAGGTTTTTCTAACCTCAATTATGGAGTTGTCTTATACAAAAGGAAGATAATTTGAATTGATTTACAAATATGTTTAGCCAAATTTTATTTCTTTGTGACCTAAAATCTATTTATTTTTAATACTTTTGATTATTTGCAAAAATAATTTTTACATTGTTCATGATAATTAACCGTGACTAACAATTAATCACGGGAAATGAAAGACTAAAAATTTGTTAAACTAATTACCGTGACTAGAACTATACAATCAGTTACAGGAAATTTTCCCATGACCATTAGTACACTTCTTAGTACGGGAAAATTTCCCGTGTAAAAGATACCGTGTCTAAAAAACTGTTTTCCTGTAGTGTTGGGTAGGCGAATCGAAGAGTCCCAAGGAAACTCGCGATCCGTCCAAAGAAAATTCGCAATCTGGGTAAATCAAATTCGCGAATTTTTGCCGACCTCAATATAATCCGCGTTTTCACTCGCCAAATAGGGATGAATTATGTTACCTAAGTTGGGAGTGTTGGGTTGGGCTGTGAGACAGGGTTGTGAGTGGGAGTGGGTTGGGATTGGGCTTGGACTTGGACTTGGAGTGTGAGTTGTGAGAGAGAGTGGGTTTGCTTGGGTTATGGGGTTACTATGTTAGTTAGGTTTATCGGTTCGGTCTATCAGAATTTGGGTTTGGTCATGCTACCATGCTTTCCGAAATACAGATTTTTTCCTTATGAATTCCAAATCGAACAACATTATTTTGGTTTTGGTTAAGTTTTAATTCGATTCAGTTTGGATCGATTTTACCGAACCGACTGCCCACCCCTACCACCTCCCTCCAATTTGATGTTTCAATTAATCTCAAACTCTGCACAGGAGGAACTTTGCATCACTATCTTCAGTTGGCAGCTAAAAAACTTGTCTGAGACCTGCTTATAGCTGGATAGCCACCCCTCGGCATCGAGCTTCAACCTCTGACTTCGATTCGAACAGACCAAATGACTAGATTCAACCTCCAGGTTTCAACCCAGAAACCCATATTCGAGCTCCCAACTTTCGAGTTTGATTCGGATGAAATCAGCGTCGAGCTTTGAAGAACTGAAACTCTCGGTTCCAAAGTTTTGCTTGTAACTCACAAGCGAGAGCTCGACGTTAGTCTCGAAGGACCTTTGTTCTATAAATTTTAGGAAAAGACACCCGACCTCCCTTGACCCAAAATTCCCTATGGCACAACCATAAAATATCCTCATCAATCCTTCCCCCTTGAAATCAACCTTATCCCCAAGGTTGATCCTCAAAGTCCTCCTCCTCGAACAACACACCACCTTAGTGTTACTGCACTTGTGACCTATGGTGAATCTTTCATCGTAATTGAAGCATACCCTTGAGTTCTACGAAGATGTTGCTCCTCCTAGCTCAAACGCTGCCCTCCTAGAGGTCCGCGAGGTGGTCCTACCCCCGCCAGCGGGTGGCGCTGCAGCTGGTCGCTCTTTATCCTAGCCATCAGATATCATCCTAGAAAGACTGCGGCCGAAACATCCTAATCTCATATGTGATCTCTTACTTCAAGCCGCCCAAGTACGTGTTCACCATTTCCTGCTGCATCCACCCCACACATCGATTAGCTAGCTTCTTGAACCCTTTCTCATAATCGCGCAAGGATCGCATTTGATGTATCCTTGACAGTGCCTCATCGCAGCTCTCCCCCTCAATCAGACCGAACCGCTCCCACAACTCCTGGGAGAACAAATCCCATGAAATCGGCTCGCTAGTATCCTTATAAGTCCGCTTCAACCATTGTGACCACTGATTCGCTTCTCCTTCCAGATGAAACGTGGCTAACGGAACCTTTTGATCGTTCGAAACCACCTGATATTCAAAGAACTGCTCCACGCGTGGAAACCACGCCTTGAGATCTTCTCTGCAAATTTCACTAACTTGGCCTGGAAGGTACTGCTGCACCTGCTTCGACCTGCGAGCTCGAAAATGGACATCGTCTTCTCCATCTCGAGTTTCCTTCCTCGATTAAGATTTTGGAACAAGTCACTACCACTAATGATTAGGGGGGGGGGGGGGGGGGGGGACTTTCCGCCACTAGTCACCACCACCGTCAATTGGAAGGGATTTGCAATGTCGACGGGAGGGAAGGGAATGGAAGGGAAGATGGGGGGATTGGGGAAGGTTAACATGAGCTATGTTGGAAGAGAGAAGGAAAGTTCAGAAGATAGAAGAAAGAAAAAGTATTATTTTGAAATCCCACACTAGTGAGTTTTTGAATACCTCACATGCAAAATTCTTCATTTTACAGACCCCTTTCTACGCACATTATTTTGTCAAAATCTCATAGAATGTGAGATTGTGCCAAAATCATGGATAAAAAACCCTCATCCAAACGACTCAATAGAGGCATTGCTGAATGACCTCTCTACGAGTGCAACAGACTTCACGAACATTGCTTGCAGCATTATCCTATCTCCAGTCACTGTCCTAAATTTTGAGTTATGGACTTTTACAATTCACATAATCCAGAATGCCAAACGTATTTTAGGGTGGGATAATGAGAATCATGTCGAACACATCAAAGCATATATGTAGATAATTGATTTTGCACAACACCCTTGTATTGAGTCAGATGCAATCAAAATACCCTTTTCCTCCTTTCTCCATCTGAGGGAAAGCAAAGAGTTAACTAAATCGTCAACGTCCTGCTCCTTTTCATACGTGGGACGATCCGGTCCAGCCATTTATAAAAGAGTTCTACCATCCATGGAGAACTGACGATTTGAGAAACCAAATTGCTCCCTTCAGGCAGTGTACCTCTAAATCTGTGTATGATGCTTGAGAGCAATTCCTAGAGCTTCTTAGAACATGTCCTCCCCATGATTTTGGGCAAGAACAGCTCGTGGACATCTTCGGCAAATGGCTTAATCTAAATACCACAGTGATGGTAAATCAGGCAACCGAAGGTGATATTAACGCAAATAAATCCCAAGGTCCCACTTCAAGATAAATGATCTTGTCCCAAAGTTCTTGGATGAACGGACAGCCGTGCATTCATTCTACAACTCGAGAACAGGGCTACGTTTAAAACACATTACTACAAGAATAGGATCTTCCTGGAAAAACATAGCAACTACATATGCTTATACGATGCTCATACGCTATCCTTTGAGCTTGATACTTCAAGATCTTGTTGCTGCGGCTTCTTCTCTTCATTAATTGTTGCGGGTGTTGCTGTCATGGTCTCTTCAGGTTCCTTTTTGAGCTCAGTCTCAAACTCTTTTGCAGCCTACACAAGTAACTTATAAATAAGACTTGTAGTCCTTGGTTGAGAAACAAGCTTAAGGCATTCCACATAAATTTCCTAAATCAATATTACATCAGAAAAAGCCAACTTATCTGCTAGTACTAGTAGTACCTGTCGCAATCCGTAAAAGATAGTATCTTCCTAAGTCGTGGGTACAAATTGAGGAACAATTCCTTTGAATCACAGTTTGCTCAGGCACTAACCCTTAACACGGAACTGCAGAAGAATTGCAAAGGATCAAGCTTTTCTTCTGCCACAATGCTTGGGACTTTGTTTGTTTGTTTTTTTGTTTTTTGTGAATTGCTTGGGACTCTTAAGGCCTGACATTAAAGTTTCAAGATTCCTACTAATGCATGACAAAAAAAATCATGACAATTTTTCAGATAACTACCGCTGGTTCAGTATGTTCTCAACTATGCTGGCAAAGCCTACCTTTCTTTGAAGGCCAAGCAAACACAATTATGATACAAAACCAAGAACATTGATCAACCGTCAGAAGGATCATATGACCACCATATTTCTTTACCTACTACTGCTTGATTTAAATTTGCAGGAAATGAGAGCATTCAGCTAGCATCGATCTATGGAGGGAATGACTGCTGGAATTGCCAGTTATGAAACAACTTGAAAGAAGCAAGCACTGATGTAGATGCCCAAACCTTGTAGGAGTCTTTAAAATAATTTAGCGAAGTGAGCATCAATGATCATAATGGTCTAGGCCAAGCAAGTATTCACTTTTTAAGTCAATTAACAATCCTTATATTCCAAATTAACCACAACGAAGTTGATTCACTTATATCTGAAATGGAAACGACAATTAGAACTGATGAAAGCAAAAGGCATGCTTAACCAAACATATCTCAGAAGTCTATAGGGAGCTTGAAGAAACTGCCTCAAAAGTCCTATAGTTCAAATCTTTTTCGCAATGGCATATAAAATCATTTCATCTCACACCTGAAATTTGTGCTCCTGAAACCCTAACTTGCTCACCAGTGAAGTTCAAGCCAACTCAATCAAAAGCATCAGAGCCAATATCCGAGCTATTTTAGCAGCACTTCAGCAAACAAAGAGTAAATCAATCCCTAAGACCCAATTCGCTCAACTGGTTTCTCCGATCTTCTACCTAACAAACCACACCTAAGCAGCCACAACCAAAACCCTATTCTTCCCATCTTTCTTCCTAACAAGAGTGAAGCAGGATAGTCAAAGTAAAGAAAGAAGAACTAGCTAACCTGTTGGAAGCTCTTGACAGTTTTACCAATACTCTTGCCAACTTCGGGGAGCTTCTTGGGACCGAAAACCAGAGCTGCCACACCAGCAATCACGACGAGTTCGGGAACGCCCAAACCGAACAGAGCATTGCAAATCATAGCCTTTTTGGGTCTGTGGGTTCTAACCCTGCGCATGACCAGAGAGACGCATTTCTTGGGCTTGCTGGAGAGGGCGACTCCGGCGGTGTTGAAGAAGGCGGAGCTGGAAGAAGAAATGGGGAAAGAAAGGGATGGCGGCCTTGAAACTGAAAGGGTAGTGGAAGCGATCTCCATGGGTATGGAGAGTATTGAGGGTTTTGGGGGATTTTCTCTTGTTCCACTTAGGTTTGATTCTGTGGCGCGATTGGATGGAAGAAGATGATAACAAATTGGATCGGTGTGGCTACTGGTAAGGATGATGATTCTTCTATTTCTTTCCCGAGTACTCAACGATTCATTTTCAGTGTTTTGTTTTTATACTTGTTTTAACTTGTTTTAACGGGCTTTGAGCCCGGCCCGTTAATTGGAAGAAAGTGGAGTATGAAATTTGAGAATGTTATGCAGTGTATAGTTTATTGGGCTAGTTTAACTCTATTGTAACTTTTGAATAATCAATTTCTTGGTGGAGTATTTAGAAAAATATTTTCCAAAAAAAATAATTGAGTTTTGGGCTTAAAAATTATTAGAAGTGTTTTTTAATATGGAAAATAGTGTAGAATAACTATAAAGGGCTTTTAATATAAATAAATTATGAATAAAATTTATGAATAGTAAAAAGTAGTTAAAATTGATCTTAATGGATTTCTTTTATATTAAATAATATAATTTTATAATTTATTTTATTTTTAAAATGATATAAATGAAAAGAAATTATATTTTCTGAAATAAAATTAAAATATGGGAGGATAATCTTATATTTTCAAAACAGTTTTACGTAGAAGCTCCAAATCGGATCTTTTGTTTTTATGTTATACAAAAGCGCTTTTCGGCTTTTCAAAAGCCGAACTTTTAAAGGTGTTTGGCCCTCCTTAAGCTTTTGAAGCCGAAAAACACTTCTAAAAGTCGGGCCAAACATGGGCATTGTCGTATAGTTTTTTTTTTTTTTGGAAACACGTGATAAAGATAGTGAATTTTAGCATGAAAGAGGCATGGATGATGCAACGAATAAAAAATAAGCCTTATGAACCAAGTTCGAGTACCTGTTACCTTGTGAAACAGTATTATTTCTGGTAATATGATGAGGTGGAGTAAGTTTTATAGAAAACGAATTCTAGAAAACCGAATCAAAAATTGCCTATCCTACCGGTCTTCGGGAAATGAGCACGACTCGATCGAACTATAACATCTCGATCGAAGGCCAACTATAACTGCCGACCGGGTGTAGCATAGGGCAAGCAAGCAATAATAATTTATCGTACCACGGGGATCTAGGCTGACCCTATTTCAGGTTTATGGTTCGTTATCTAGCCAACCTAGGATAGTGATTAAGAAGACTAAACAAACTAATCTAGCTAACCACTAACCTAGCTATTTACAAGGTTGGGAGCTCTCTTGGGTTGAATCCCCCTAGTTCCGACCTTTTTTATTGATGTTGATTATCCTCCTAGCTCAATCGACTCAAATACTCTACCGTTAGGAGATGGAATCCCTCGGGAATGACCCGGAACGGCGAATCGATGAATGGGGTATGCTCCATTCAACCTAGGGGATTGATGGAATTGACTCCCTCGGGGATCACCCATAAGATATAGGATGAGGAGTGACCCAAAGATGCCAATAATGGGCTCAAAGGGGATTTTCTCCCTCCTTGGTCAAAAGCTCAATGCATGAAAATGGAAACCAAACTCATGCCATTCATGAAAACATCCATCAATTAAGTAAAATCATCAATCAAGCATGGAATTTGTCACATACATCAACAATGAAACAAAATCTAGACCTAGTGTTCTTAAACTCAAGAGAAAAGGGTGAGTTTCTAGAGAGCAAAGAGAGAAATTACAAATTGGAGCACAAGATCTCCTTCTTCTAGGCTTGATTCCTTGCTTCCAACCTTGATCAATGCCTGTAATATAATTAATCTTCAAGATCACTCAAGAACTATCTCTCTCTCTCTAGAACAACCCTTAAGTGTTTTCGGTCGAAACCCTAGAGAAAGAAACTATTTCCTCTCCTAAAACCAGCTCTCCTTTCTCTCTTCTTGCTTCTGTCTTTATATCCAGATCGAAGGCTGTTCACGGTATGAGTTCACGGTCGTGAACTCAAAGCCTAGACCGTGATCTCGATCAGAAACGCGCCGTCTCACTATAGCACTTCACAGTCTGGAGCTAAAGTTCACGGTCGCGTGACGGTGAACTGACAGGGCTCTAGTGAGACGCAAAAATAGTATGGATCCTCCGCACTTCACGGTCACGGGGCAATTGTCACAGTCACATTTTTTCACTTTTTCGTGCTTTTCGACCTCCAATCGAACCGGAACTCGTTCTCGACCTTCCCACGCGTGTTAGGACCTGAAATGTAACAAAACAAGCACAACCTAGTGTAAAATAGGTCGAGGGACGCTGATCTACTAAGCAAAACAGACAAGAAATGAGGGGTAAAATGTGTACATTTGGACCCGAATCACACCTCCACATTTGAACGTTTGCTTGTCCCCCAAGCAAACCAAGTATAAAACAAGGTAAGCTTACAACTTCTTTTTTCAACAAAATTTTTGTGGCTCGTCATAGGGCACAAAACGAATGAATCACAATGGTTATTTCACATCGACCTATGGACAAAACCAAGGTAATCTTGGCAACCACCACAAACGACATTCAACTATATTAAGATTGTGAAAAAGAAGAGTTTTCACATTATTCACGAACCAACCCACAACATGCCTCGCGACTCACCAATCACAGTTACTCATGCATGAAGATCACATCATAAGAATGAACGATCGAGCAACCTAGGTCCGCACCGAGGCATAGGAAATGAACAAAACATGATGAATGAATCACTCACTCTCGACCAGTGGGGTCAGGTGCATTTGATGCAAAAGATGTGCATATTCACGCTCAATCCTAACGTCTCTTTCCCATGACGGTAGCCTCTATATGCTAGAGCTCACATTATGAGTGTCATTGCTAGCTTGTTTGGAGGTCTTAGCCACGGGTTCAAATGACTGGCTAGGGTCTAGGACATGGGGAAAAGGCTTTTTGGGTGGTGGCAAACATAACATGATGTTCCACATCCTCGTCCTAAAACCAAAACAAGGTTCTAGGGTTTCCGACTAGAACCTTCTTCTACAAGCAATGGCCACTAGCATAGGCCAAAGAACACACTTCCCTCCATTCCAAACCACAACCAATCACCAAACCATGTCACACACACTTCCTTTCTACATTTTCTAGTCAATTCAAGCACAAGAGTGTAGAGGTCAACAATATGTAAGTGTTTCTATAGCTCGCATGCCAAGAAACACTTCTAAGAGCATGTCCAACATTTATTATATTTTTGGTGGCCACTCTCTTTTCTTATTTGCCCTTTTATTGATTTCTTTTTATTTTACTTTTCTCCTTTCCTTGAGGGCTATATGGAGTTATATGTACATGCCACATTTTTTAACTTAAGGAACAATGCTTGCTTTGAAAACTACCTCCAACACTCACTTTTTCGTTCTTAGCAAAACCATACACAAATCAATCATGTGGAACCTCATTTAAGCTCAAATGGTATGAATGGAGTTTCCAAACACTAGGGTGACTCGATAGCGGTGTAGACGCGAAGAAAGCATAGGGTCTCTCTATCTGAATCAATTAAGGTCAAGTAGCAAGAGCTACCTAACACGAGAGCGAACCTTAGACACACGGCTCAAAAGGGTTGACTAAGGGATAATATGATGGGGACAAGTCAGATTTTGGGTCGTGGACTAAACCTATGCCTCCATCTTCCTCACTAGCAACAACGTGAAAGCTACACATCATGTAAAGAGGGATCTATCACACAAGAATGAAACGAACGGCAAAAGTCTCACATGGCTACCTAGGTTCTCAATCATTCACTCTAACTCCCTAAACTCAATGTATAGGCAACTGTAAAAAGCAAATAATTGATTCAAAACATCTATCGGTTCACAAACATATGAGAACTAAACCTATGCGCAAACCTAATACATATATCAATCATCATAATAGGTTGCACACCATCACAAGCATATCATCCATAGACAATGCTACTAACCAAGAGATTCAAAACAAAACAACACAAGTGCCACTACGATCATGCAACTGTAGAAGCTATTATGTTTGGAGCCTTCAAATTTTAAAAAATTTGGGTATACAACAAGGCTCCAAGCACTCAAAATCACACCAATCATTCACACACACAAGCATAATGGACTACCCCCCCTCCCCCTCCCCCCTACACACACACACACAGACACACACACACACACACACACACACTTAAACTCGGCATTGCCCTCAATGGCGTAAAATAAGGAGATAGAACGATGTTACCGGACAAGTTGTGAATGTTGGTGATCGAGAGTGGAGGGCGGGTGAGATCCGGAAGAGCAAGGCCACGGCAAAACACCACCAAAATCTCTCCAATGGTCTTCTTATTGAAAGGAAAAGAGATGCAACCGTTAGAATGGCTTGTCTCCCATCAAGCGCTTCTTTAAAGTCGTGAGTTGGACGATTTCTCTTCAAGTTTTGGTCCATCCAAGAACCTCCTTGAAGTTGAGGTTCTCGTCGGTGAGTTAATGTCTCAAGTCACGAGCTTTGGACGAATCCATGATTGAGGGCTCGCGAACTTGAGTGGCTTTGAGGGTCCACCCACGAGACCTCTCCTTCTTTCCTTCTTCTTCCTTCTTCTCTTTACCCCACACCATATAATGCAACCTCGATTGACTTTTATCGCATCCTCCAAGAGGATCACCGAAAGTTTGGCCTTGGCTTGGCAAGAGCCGCAAACGGGTCCTTCTCCAAAAGTGCATCGAGGTCAGGTGGAAACCATTTGTAGCTCTTGTAATTTGTCGATGCTTCATCCACTGTGACCTCGTCCTCATCTTGGAGCTCACTTGCTCCTTCTACTTCATCTTCAACCTCCCTTCCTTCTTCCTCAATGTGTTCCTCCCATTGGGAACAATCAAGATCTTCCTCCTCTTCAATGCTCTCTTCCTCCTCTTCAACCTCATCCTTCTTCGTCCCATTCATGCCTTCAAGCACGGTTTGGAGGGAAATATGTCATGCAAGATCATAGAAAGGATTCTCTTGCTCCTCCAACCGTGACTTTGGACTTTTTTTTTTACATTTTCGTGCTTTTCGACCTCCAATCGACCTGAAACTCGTCATCGACCTTCCCACACGTGCTAGGACCTGAAATGTAACAAAACAAGCATAACCTAGCATAAAATAGGTCAAGGGACAGTGATTTAATAAGGGTTAAATGGTTAACCTATGATCCAAC